TGAGAAAGAGAGAGAAGTATATTCCCGCACCGTGGTTCTGGGACATGGACTTCTCTCTCATCTAGCCATATAGTAGTATTACATATATGATGTGGTCCATCGTTGCATGCAATGAAGCGTGACTTATTTTACGTGTGCATGCATGTGTGCGCGCGCGTGTTCAGTTATGTTAGGTTGGGTAATATAAAGTCACTAGATTTATATAGAGGCCTAGAAAACAGAGATGCGACATTGCGTCGGTTGGGTTAGGTTAGAGACCTAGAAAACAGAGATGCGTCATTGAAGGGTATGGTTTGATTGGCTGTCCAAATCACGTGATCAGAGAGCCATTTTAATTCACTATTGCATCTAATAGATATAGTTTTATAACGTATGTATACAATGTATATATGTATATATATATATGTATAGAGAAAAATTTAGAAAATACAGTGTCGAAGTGCAATAAAAAACTATTATTATGGTGTAAGTATTCTTATTTGTGTGAATATTTAATATCGGACTTAACCTAACCTAATCTAATCTTTCTACCTTTTGCATCAACTGTCATCAGCTTATTGGTCAAAAGCACTTATATTGAATTAAAATGGTGATGGTTACCTAATCCAACCGACGCAATGTCGCATCTCTGTTTTTTAGGCCTCTAGGTTAGGTAACCACCGCCATTTTAATTCAATATAAGTGCTCTTGACCAATAAGCTGATGACAGTTGATGCAAAAGGTAGAAAGATTAGATTAGGTTAGGTTAAGTCCGATATTAAATATTCACACAAATAAGAATACTTACACCATAATAATAGTTTTTTATTGCACTTCGACACTGTATTTTCTAAATTTTTCTCTCTCTCTCTATATATATATATATACATATATACATACGTTATAAAACTATATCTATTAGATGCAATAGTGAATTAAAATGGCTCTCTGATTACGTGATTTAGACAGCCAATCAAGCCATACCCTTCAATGACGCATCTCTGTTTTCTAGGTCTCTAGATTTATAAAGTACCGCAATCATTCCGCCATTTTGGTTCCAACATTCGTGCATATGCATATTAGTATGAATGTGTGCACACAGACATTGCACAACAGACAGGTTAAATACATTACACTTAATATGTAGATACGTTATGAAAGTGAGCACTATTTACACTTTTCGACGTCATTTTGGTTCCAAATCCTTAAGCGGGGAGCACAGACTTTTGCATAACGCATAAACCATATACATAAAGAATTTGATTGGTCCATTGATTCATGCCTAAGAAAATGGGCCAATGAAATTCCTTATGCACATGCTTTATGCGTTATGCAAAAGTCTGTGTTGGGGCTCTTATACATTGGCCTTATGGATCGCGATACCAGAGAGAAACCTGAGAGCGGCCATGGCAGCCTTTTTCCTGTAATGCTTCTCACTAGCGGCACCAACGTCCATTTTCGAGCTGCGGGAACTACGTACCACGAGAGCGAGCGAGACAGCGAGTCTCGTTGTCTCGCTCACTCTCGTGGTACGTAGTTCCCGCAGCTCGAAAATGGACGTTGGTGCCGCTAGTGAGAAGCATTACAGGAAAAAGGCCGCCATGGCCGCTCTCAG